ATGGGGGCCCTAAGCCATGACATAGACCGTGAAAAGAGCGTTTCAACCTGAGATCCTGTTTTCAATCCCCAACCCTGTTTTCAGTTACACATGACAAAATGGGAGCCCTAACCCAAGGAAATACACAGTGAAAACAGGGATTCAATCTCTAACCCTGTTTTCAATCTCCAACCCTGTTTTCTGTGACACGTGACAAAATGGGGGCCCTGAGCCAAGGCATACACCGTGAAAACAGCGTTTCAATCTGAGATCCTGTTTTCAATCTCCAACCCTGTTTTCTGTGACACGTGACAGAAAGGGGGCCCTAACCCAAGGCAATACACAGTGAAAACAGGTATTCAATCTCCAACCCTGTTTTCAATATGCAACCCTGTTTTCTGTGACACGTGACAAAATGGGGGCCCTAACCCAAGGCATACACAGTGAAAACAGTGATTCAATCTGTGATCCTGTTTTCAATCTCCAACCCTGTTTTCTGTGGCACGTGACAAAAAGGGGGCCCTAAGCCAAGGCATACACCGTGAAAACAGCGTTTCAATCTGAGATCCTGTTTTCAATCTCCAACCCTGTTTTCTGTGACACGTGACAGAAAGGGGGCCCTAACCCAAGGCAATACACAGTGAAAACAGGTATTCAATCTCCAACCCTGTTTTCAATATGCAACCCTGTTTTCTGTGACACGTGACAAAATGGGGGCCCTAACCCTAACCCTAACTTATTTCTCGATCCCCTCTGCATGAAAAGTGGTTCCGTCTTTTTTGTCGTGCTCGGAGGGTACGTCTGGGTGAGTGTTTGAAAAATCGCAACAAACAAATTCTTTATAGTGGAGACAATTTGTCAATACAACCCTAACCCTAACCCTAACCCTAACCCTAAGATGATGGGGCTTTCGACTTCGATATCGCTGACGGCACTTTCGATTCGCCTGGGGAGTTCGTTCCCGTCGATGGACGCGACGATGAGGAGGGGCGGCAGGAGGATGGGCCGGGTGATGAGAGCGGCGAGGAACCGGAGGAGGAGAAGTCAGGCCAGGAGGAGCAGAAAGTCGATGCCGCTGCCGAGCCTTACTCTCCCAATGACGATGATGGAGAGTCCGTGATGGTGAGTCAAAGTGAGGGGGACAGGTTGGGGCCGGACACGCGGGATGCTGGTACGGTCGATGAAACGGTCGAGCCTTCACCAATCGACTCAGGTGCTGGCGAATTGGTACATGGCGCGAGTCCTCCGCGAAGCAGTGCTTTCGGTATGGACGACGACGCAGTGGGAGTCGGGGTGAGTGGCACATCGAAAGTTTTTACTGGCCGAACCACACAAGATCCGGACTCGGACAGTGACGGGAGAGAAGGCCGAGTGTCGCTAACTTCAGGACACGATGACCGTACCGAGACAATTACAAAGACCAGGAACCTACGAGTTCGGGGACGTCGCGGTAGAGGTGGAGACCGAACTGGAGCAGGTCGGAAACGCCGAGAGGGCGTCGAGGGGACACAATGTGGTGCTTCTAATGACCGTGTGGCATCCACGACGACAAGGCACGCCGGCGGGGACGAAACATCACCGGAAAGGTGACGGAAACGTAAGCAGGATGAAAGACGCGGCGTTAGTCCTGCGACGACACGTGTTCGACGTGACACACGGAGGAGTTATCCTCGTAGCACTTGGGAGTTCGGGTTGCAGGCTGTAAGAAACAGGACAAGAGACAGCGGTAGCCGGGAGGGTAGCCGAGCGAATGTTCGATTCCGCCCGCTGCCTGAGTGTGAACTGTCGAAGATTAAGGAATATGTGACGATTCGCAAGGCTCCTTTCAACCAGGTAGGCGTGACTTGGAAGGCTAAAACGAAAGACGGCCACAAGAGGACAAAAATCGGCAGCGGAGTTACTTGCCGGGACAGTACGGCCGTGTAAGAAAATCTATGGGCAATGTAAAAGTACGACTGGCCTGGTGTAGATGGTTGAGAAGGCACTACGCCGAGGTTACTGTTGATTGCTCCGTTACTGCTTGCCTATTGCCGGTTGTGCTAAACGTGGCATCAACTGGCCTGGTGTTCTTGGTCAATAGCAACTGCGCCTGGGTTCGCATTGGTGGTTGATGTTAACCGGGAAGGTTCTGGCCGGTTATCTTCAGCGTGGGAGGATTCCTCATGAGAATGCCGAATCAGGACGACATGTGGGGTTACTCAAGAGTCATAAACATGCAAAAAATGAGAAAACCTGGCAGCGGAGTCAATACAAGCCCAAACGGAATGAAAAACCGTCCCAAGCAAATTCTTTATAGTGGAGGAAATTTGTCAATACAACCCAAACGGAGGCAGCGAAATGTTCAAAGTGTGGGGGAAGCAATGGGCGTCAGGCAGCGGTGCTCAACCGCTTATTTCTCGAGCCCCTCTGCATGAAAAGTGGTTCCGTCTTTTTTGTCGTGCTCGCACAGCACGTCTGGGTGAGTGTTTGAAAAACCGCCCCAAGCAAATTCTTTATAGTGGAGAAAATTTGTCAATACAACCCTAACCCAACAAAATATGCATGTCACGTTGCAAAGCCCGTGTGTTTAAGCTACAGCAATATCTTCCTATTTCCTACTTCTGTTGCACATACTACATCTACCCAGGAGGCACTTGGCCCCTTCACGGTCCTTCAGGACTCTACCGTGTCTCAGGACTCTCCTTCAATAGGGTTAAGTATTGGCCCCCCGCCGCCCAATGGGGCGGGCGGCCATAACCAGACGGATGGCGGCGAGGGTTTGGGAGGAAGTGAAGTTTAAGAAGGAGAACCGTACTCTGTTCGTCGATACATAAGTGCAATCAAAGATAACAAGTCAATGGACGTGAAAGAAAGAGCCAAGCAGTTGTCAGGCCAATCAGCAACTGCTCCATTTTCTGGCGCTATGGATTGATTGCCTTTCTATCTTAGACTATCTTCTTAGAGATGGATTTGTTGGGTCATATCAGAAAAAAAAAGTAATTAAAACAAACATAACCTCATCACAGCAAAACACATTTTCCTCAAGATCCAGCGGAATTTTATCCTCGGGGTGGTAAAAAGACCATGAATGTGGATCACAATTTGAATTTTGAGACCTCCGTACTAGCGACTGGTATATCTACTTCAAGTAGGGACGGCTGGAAACCAAGAAAAGTCGCCGTGCAGTGCAGAATTGTCGACAGCAGCAGTTAGCGGCCGGTCGTTTCTGATGCCGCCTCAAACCCACTTTCCCCTTGCTTCTACCCGTTTGGCCTACAGTTCAATGCACCACCACTTCCACCATTCCAAATCCCTAACATCACGAACGAACAAGACAAGACCTGCATCATTCTGCCAGGTTGCAGTCTCTACCACCGCTTAGTCACGCCTTACCAGAAGGGCAATTCTCACAAGCACCCGTTCCAACAGCTAAGAAAAACAGTTGATCACGAACCCCCACTCGTTCCGTCAGGTCCTCCGTTACGAACCCCCTTTCCTTTCCAGCCCCGCTTCGACCCTTCTCCACGCCCTCCTTGGCGCCTCCCACGTCCTACCGGCGCGCTTTTGCCTTCCTGCCTCCGAGGATCAACTCTTCCACGGCCTTGTTGTCGACCGCCTCCTCGCCCTGTCGTCTCCTGCCGTGGGTTCATGGGCATCGTCGGCGGAGGTTGGTACCCGGGGTGTACCGGCTGCTGTTGTTGGAATCCGGTCTGAAGTGGAAGAGTGACGGGTTGTTCGGCGAGAACCGCGAAGCCGCCGACGGTCCCATCGGTTAGGGCGATATTGTGAGATGGATGTTGCTGTGATTGTACCTGCTGCTGCTGCTGCTGCAACTGCTGCTGCTGCGGCTGTTGCTGCTGCCGCAACTGCTGCTGCTGTTGCTGCTGCTGCTGCTGCTGCTGCTGCTGCTGCAAGCTCACAGCGTTGTACGACGGTTGCCGCCGCTGTTGTTGGTACCGTAGGTGATGGTGAGATCCGTTCGCGTGGTGGAAAGGCTGCTGTTGCTTCTGTTGCTGTTCCTGGCGGTGCTGCTGGTGGGAATGGGTGTGCTGCTGCTGTTGCTGATGCATCCCTGCCATGGGCAGTAGCGATCGACCTTGTCCTGCGGGGCATGTAGGGAGAAACGTTCACTGGTTCCAACCAATCGAAATACACTCGTGCATGTCCACCATCACAAATTGAAAGACTTGGTATTCCCAGCAATAGTTCCCAGAGTGTTCTCAGCGATAGTTCCTGGGTACAATTTAATTTCTCCGCTTGGAAGAAAAGTCTACAGATTGAGATATCCCAACCCCACTTTGAACAACGACGTGCGAAACCCAATGTGGTTGCCAAAACCCTGACGGGAACTGAAACTACCTTCTAATCCAGCCACTAGCCACGTAAGACATACGTATCCAGCTCGTAGGTGTGCTACCCGGGTGTGTGCTGTTCGTGAATCGGTAAGAAACTTGCAGCATCTAGCGTGGTGCACCGTTAGTGATCCCAGGGGACACGTGGATTCGTCTCGTATGCAACGACGACAATACACATTCCCAGTGCAACGAGTTTCTGAAAAACCTTGAGGTATGCCGCGGAGGGGGAGTGGCGCCCTTCCTTCCAGGGGACGATACTTCTGTTGTTGATGCTGGTGATGACTCCCGTTCGCGTCTGCGGGGCTCCACAGCCGCCCTGCACCTCGTTTGGCGTGCTGGTGTTGCCGCCCTTGCACAGCTCTACGAAGAAGAACAGCACCGACACGCATAACACGAAACACGAACGACGCACAAGACAAAGGCGATCCAATGCCGAGCGCTATTTTCAGGGTACAGTGTAGATAGCTCTATCAAGTGTCATTGTTGGTGATGGCTGTTTCTCACACTACCTCATCGCCAAAACTTGCCAATGCTCATGTCCCTATGCTACCCACGACAATATGGAGGATCCCACGATGTAAAAAAAAAAACTGGGAATAGGCTTCAGCCGAACGCGGAACCTGTAGAAGAACAGAGAGAACCAGACCGGTCTCCGAGCACGCCCGAAAGCGATATGTATGTGGTGAGCTACAGCACCAGGAACGAAGCCAACCTTCGCATCAAGGACCACCGCGCAATGTCTATTGCGGACCTTCTCCACGACGGACAAGCACCCCGATTATCCCGAGACATAGGTCGAACAATAAACGATGCTTGCACGTACGTGTTGCGACCGTTGCCAGTGCCGGCCACTCTTCCGCCGCGGGCACCACCGCCGTCCATCTTGGCAAGACCAGCAACGTTCTTGGGCCCGTTTTTCGCTGCCCTGCCAGACGTCTCGAACAGCTCTGGGATTGCCTTCGAACCGCCTTTCTTCATTACGGCGTACCTGCGTGAACGTTCGCGGTGCAGCATGCATGTGGTAACTTAGGGTTAGGGTGGGGGTTTTAGCATACACTCGTTGCTTCTCTCCAGCGACATGTATTTAATGCGAGAAGCACAAGCGGGCTGTTCATAACTCGGCATGGATAAGTCATGTCGTCAAGAGCGTCGTTCAACACGGACTCGTTGCGGGTATGCGTGACGACTTGCGCAGAGCCGCGGTGCAACAGAAGGTGTTCGGGCCCTTCACGTTGTGAACGTGGTCCGGGCTGAGCCGATCTCGTGTGACCTGGACAACAACACACTCACCCCCTCTTCCATTCTTGGTGGAGTAGCGTCTGGCCAGTACGCGAAAGAACCGTGCCCAGATCATGGGGGTTGGTGCTGTCGAAAGTCTCGAAAGGGTCTTCCACACTCGTACGCCATAGCTGTGGTTGCGGTCACAGCAGGGCAAGGTAGCCTTAGGATTGGAGTCGGGTACTTGTCGGAGAGGTTTTGCATTGTCTGACCCACAACGAAGATATTACTTCTGCAGCGAACTAGGTATGGCCGAAATCTCTCTTACAGCTTTCGCTGTATTTTCGGTACAACCGGCAAGTACAACCGGCAACCGGTCTGCCAGCATTGCACACTTCACACGGCGACGTGCCTGGCTAGTCACCTAAATTCATACCTTGGGTCTGGCCCACACGTCAGCTTTGTTGAGGATGGTCTTCGGGCGCAGGGTCATTACCTGGTTTGTTGACAAATCAAAACCGACAAGAGAGATGAGAGGATTGCCGTAACATGCGAGTCATCTCACACCGCCTGGACCGGCTTTCAAGGTTCGATTGCTCAGCCTAGATGATGCGACAACCGACCGATACGTGCAAGGAAATCTCTCGACTGGATCGTCCAAAGCTACCCTTTTCGGCGTTGGCAACCTAGATTGTAGTTTTATGGTGTAGCCGGATTTCGCGCTGCCACCACCAAGTTTTGTTCTCGACAGCTCACAATGTACATTAGCTAGCATGCACACTTCTTGAACAAAAAATACGTTTCTTCACACCCCTTTTATATGGTAGCAAACAGTTGCAAAAAAAGTCGAAGTTTCCAAATTTTTCTCGAAGCGTTTCTCATGTACGCTCTTTATGGGAGAAAAACGTTGCGCCAAAAGTTATAAACTTTCGCTTTTGACAATAATCGCGCGATCTGGAGCAAAAGGTCGCGAAATTTCTCGCGACGAGGGTGTCGAACCAAAGTTAAGCGGCGAGACTTCCGCCAATTCACGTCAACCACCTACCCCTACCACACACGTAGACCCCCTCTCCAGCTTCCATTGACAGGCACTGTGTTCACCGATATCTCGACGAATGCTAAACGAGTTGCCTCATGAATGGCATCTAGAAGGACGTGATGCCATGGGCTGTTGGGCAATGCCAAGGTTTGGCGCCGTGAGGTGCCGAATGCGCCGGGAAGAAAAAATGGTGTTGATCCACGACCGTCAACGGCCGCGAGCGGCTAGTTCAAGTTCGATGTTTTGACCGCCACGGGTTTTTCTTTCCGCCGATTCCTTTCCGAAGGAGGAAGCAACAGCAATAGCAAGGCCACTCGGCGGGAGGTAGTTCTCTGCTCCATCTTTCATGCCAAAGATTTGGTGCCGTGGGTTATCGTGCGCGTCGGGAAAAAAGGTTTTTGGTTGACCCTACCGTAAAACACCCATGTCAGAGAGCGCTTGGTTCAAGTTCGCTGGGATTGTGAGCTCATGGTTGGGTTTTCCAGCGATAACTTTTCGAAGGAGAAGGCAACAGCAACAGCAACGCCACTCCGAGGGGGGTAGCTCTACCCAGCATCTTTCTGGTAACAGGTTACATGCCTTGGGGTATCGTGGGTGTGGAGAAAAAAGGTTGCAACTACTCTGTGCCGCACGCTCTGGCCGGTTTCTTCGCGATGTGGTGTGCCTGCTTTTCGCTGTCGCAAAAAAAAAAAAATGATCCCTCCGCATTCCACCAGTGCCGTGAAGAAAACTTCCGTCGCCCCATGGTGAGCGTGCAACAAAAGTGGTATTGACAAAAGTTCCCGACCAAACGTCGCAATCAAACTTGTAACTTTTCCCGCAACTTTATGATCCAATAAAAAGCGATGTCAGGCACTGCACAGAGACAGGGCAAAAACCAAGGCTCCTCTCGGTGGAAGAATCTCAGGATGTGGGCCCTATACGTATCTCGCCGATGTTGGCTGCAAAATGAATGGCGTTCTTAACCGTGGTCACCCATACGCACGAACGCGTTACCTTCATGAGGATGTTTCTACAAAGATATGCTTATAACCTGTCACCTGCGTCGAAAAAAATGGTTCGCACAATCTATCATTTGTGGTATGACCCCAGACATGTTGCGAGAAAAAGACATGAACGAGGGTTGATTGTTTCGCTCATCATGGGAGGGAGGTAAGTTGTTACTGCTGCTCCCAAGGCACCACTCACCTGCTGCTGCCGCTGCTGCTGCTTTCACCGTTAACTCTCTGCATGCAGCATGAATCGTGACATCCTTCCGCCAATCCAATAAAGCACACCCGACACGAACCCGCAAAGAAGTCCACGCAATAGGTAACCCCACAGGAACTTCAGAGCCAAAAGTAAAATCCAAGGCAGACACGAACTCAGAAAATAAAGAAGCACACCAGAATAAATCAACGGACAACATGCTAAAATAATACTCCTCCCAACCCACCTCCTTGGCGTGGCAGAAGTCTTCGGCCAGGTGCCTGAAATAACCCAACAGTAGATCGCAAATGGTTGCATCCCGAACAGCTAGCCCCTCGCTCCCGCTCCTGCTACCATTTGTGGTATCATTTGCGGTATCATACGAGTCTGCCACCCCCTGATTGCTATCGGCTTCCGAGGCGTTCCCGTGGATCGCTCGATCCGCTGTGTCACGGGGCAGGGGGGGGCAGTGATTTTCAACCGGGAGGGGACAGGGTGGAAGGGTTCCCGGGTTGGTATTGGAGAAGGACACATCGATTCCTTCTACAATGAAGGCGCTGTCCCCGTGGTCGAATGCAGGGGGTGTAGGATGGGCGCCTGCTTCCTTGGAGAATGACTTGTGCTCCTGGTAGGAAAATCCCAGATCCGTGATCAAATCAAGAGAGATGGTCGGAGAGCAAGACGGACAGCATCGAGGAGGGGGGAGATAGAAGGTGTGATCAACACACGGAACGAAGGGCCTACTTTCACGGAGGAGTGCCTGTCTCTAACCCAGCGTACAGTGGGAAATGCAGGGCACCACTTAAAGACGAAGTTTGAATGACGAACCAGAGAGAGCAGCATACCATTGTGTCGTTTTGCGCTTGAGCAGCTCTGAAATGACCCAGGTAAAATCGAAACAATTCTGCCAACAATCAGACCTAGGCGTGTTGCGGTTATCGTCTTTCCAGTTGGCGTCATAGTTGTGGAAGCTGTTCCCTTCGCACAATCACAAAACAACAGTCAATCCGAGAAGCGAGGACAAGAATGAGAAGGTAAGCCAACCCTCACTCAAACCCCAACCCGAAGCCAGCGACCACCAAATACCTTGAGAAGCGAGGGAACGACGCCGACTCGCGTAAGGTAGTGGAGGACAGTGAGGCAGTGGCCGTACGAGCTCAGCGTGCCCTATCGTGCGCACGCGGACAACAGTATGGGACGAAACGGAATCATGCGTCAGGGATAAAGGCTGCATGGAGGATTGGACATGCAGAGGTCAGAACATTTTTTTCAATATGAAGGCAACAGCAACGACAACACCAGCAACAAGAGCAATATCAACAGCGACCACAACCGCAGCAGAAGTGGCGGCGACAATCTTCGACGTCGACCACGATAGTAGCCACTAAAGGCCTGCGGTTGCCCCAACTTCGGTTTCTACCATTATTTCTGCACCACTCACCCTGTAACAATACGTTGAATCTACCATTTCCAACCTCAGTTTTACTTACCTTCGATGAGTCGCCCACTCCCCTCGCCTTCGCCCAGGCCTTCACTAAATACAGCAGCCTGTGGCATCGCGGGTCCTACCAAGGCACAGAGGGTTTTGGAGGATAACGTAAGCGAGTAGGGGGGTAAGCACGCAGAAGTAATCTAAGGCAATGTCGACAAAATATACAAACTACACGCATAAACCCTACGGTGGTACACACTGGTCCCCGAAGGCGGTACGAGAAACACGGTACAACATCATGAATAGTGGGCGCACATCACTAGAAGTACCTGTATGACGGGTAAAAAAACGCCAGGGTGTGTGCCACGGCATAACATGGTGATGACCAGGCGCCGATCGAGGTGGCTTGATGAAACCCACACTCGAGAGTTAACCGACACTCGCGTACTTCGTTTGCACAGGCAGGCGTGCCTTGAAAAACACCAACAACTGCAAGAACGCCGACAAGAACAGCTCAGCGAAACAGCAAGCACGTACCAGGTCGGTGTAGGCCTTAACGAGGCGAGTGTTGTGCACGGCGACGAGGTTGTTGACGCTGATGTCGCATTCAATCGGACGCCCGGCGGGGCCCCACAGGCGCCGCGGCACACACGTCTTAACCACTGGCACTCGGCTTCTGTGAACAGCCATGACCTAGAACAGGGCGGACGAGAAAATGATCATCTTGCGACACAGTTAGCAGGTGAGTTTATGCGCACAACCAGTCTTGCGCCACGAACGCGGACCCTCGTTTAGTCAGGCAAAGCCAAAATGCAACCACATAGCCACAACCTTCACTACCCAAACTCAGATCATCAAGCTCACCCGAACCAGCACAACACCACCAACCAACAGCAGCAAGGGCAACATCAGTAACAACACCAAATAGCGACGTCACCAACAACAACCCGCAATTATCATGAATCAACCGAGAGGGTGGGAACAGCGTGGCAGGTGCAACTCACGTCCGTGAAGCCCTTTCTCTCCATTACCCTCTTCATCTCGAACACGATTTTGCTCGTCGCCTTGAGGTTCTGCTGGGCCTTTGCCAGTGATGCCCTGCACTTTATGATGGCTTGCACAACCTTCTTCTGTGATTGCGGGTGGTCAGGTGCAAAACATCGTGCGAGTGTTGCGTTGTTGTTGTTGTTCTGCACTCAACTGGTGTCGGCACGGCTCCTCATCTTCCCCGGCCATCGCAAAGTCCGCCTTGATTTGATTTCGAAAAAACAAAAACGCCACCAGAAGGTGTAGTATCATGACTTGAGACTATCCACAAAAGAGGGAGTTCGCAACAAAAAACTACCTCCTTGCACAACAAACACGCCTGGAGTAGAACAAAAGAACGTTCAAAGATCCATCCGGCTTCGAAAACGGGGAGAGAGCACTTGCAACAGAAGGAACAACGATATCGAAAGCAGTAACGCTTTGAAGTAGGCAAGTCACACCTGGTCGGGGCTAGCGTTGTCAAAGTTTTCTTTGGTCCAGTCCCCAAGCTCCTTCTTTTTCTCTTCAAAAGCAGCTTCCGCCTCCGTGGCCGCTCGCCGGCTTGTCTTGATCCCTCGCTCGCTGGCCGCCAGCCTGCTCTCCAGCAACACTCCCTCTCTGTCCTCCTCTTCCGGCTCGGCTGCCCGTTGTCCATCTCGAGAATCGTTGCGGTCCTTGTCCTTGTCTTCAGCGGTACAAGCCACGGGCTCGGGAATAGGTACCCGTGCGGCTGTTGCTGATCCAGCGTGCCTCTGCGTGCGTTGATGCCGAAAAGCAGCAGCAAGGCAAGCACCACTTGTTTTAACGCCCGCCTTTGTTCGTGGCCTGCAAGCATTGCTAGACTACACGCGGGAACGTTATGTAGTACAATGTTGAGAACTAGGAAACGTGTTCTCCGGACTAAAACGGCATGAATTTTGAACAAACTCATCACGAAATAGGCCTACTAAATAAAATATTAGGAAAAATAAATACACACACAGCAAGACTACCCGTTCGAGATATACCCACATTCGAACGGGATGAATATGCGAAACACACAAAGAACAATAAATCGATGCCGCTGGAAGAGGGACGCATGTACACCAGAGCCACAGCTGTTTTACCGTGCCCATTTTCAATAAATAACCCAGAATTCAACAGCAGCAGCAGCAGCCATGCGACAACAGAAAGACCATACGAAAATACGTGCAACAAAGAGGTAAATTACAAACGCAAAGAGAACGGGGAAACTAGCACAAGCTTTCCGAACTTCGTCCAGACATTACACAGAATGGTACATCGATGCAACGTCCGTAACAAGAGCCACACACAAACAATCAAGCACGTGCGAAAAAAAGCGAGACACAACTCAAGGAATCAACGACAATGCAGCAAGTGAAAGGGAAGAGCTCAATGCCCGCCGCACCTGCTCCTCCTTGCTGCGAGGTGTTTCACTATTTTCCGACTTTTCCGAATCCTGCGCTTGTTGCGAGGAAGTCTCCAGTTTCCGCGTCTTCCGGGCGGTATGAGCAGCTTTCATTGCATGTAGCTTCTGGGCAGTTTTGTCTCTGGACAGAGTCAAGGCCGACAGGTCGTTCAGTTTTCCCCGCTTGGTGCCATTGAGTTTCGACAATCTGTGGAAGAAAACCGTTCACGCGGCAAACGACAAATGACGCGGTCAGGTCGCAACGTGTTGTCGCTTCGAAACTGGTGAGGATAAAGCAGTAAGTCACAGACTGAAGAGAATTCGGTGCAATACACCGCAAGGTCTGCTGTGAACGCCCTCCCCACCCTTGAAAATCACCGGTGAAGGACAAAAGCCCGGGGGCGATCGCTGTTAGCATTTCCCCCGTACCTCTATTCCTTTGAGATCGCGCTAGGGCGTCCTACTCGGTCCAACGCATCTATCCCAGCAACAACCTCACTCGTTTGGTTGTTGTTGTTGTTGTTGTTGTTGTTGTTGCTAGAAATAGTTTTACAAACCTTTCCATCAACCTAACAATTCAGCACTACCTCCCCGGCACTCCTTTCTGACGAACATACGAGTTGAGCTGTGACGGGTGTGCCGGCGTGAAACTCCTAAGTGCCGTATGGCACCGCCAGACTCAAAAGCACTACATTGTAAGCGATTAGCCGAAGAGATCCGACAGACAAAAAACATCGGAGAACCAACAACTCACGAATGTCGCCTCTACCGTAGATCTGAAACATTATCGTAGATGCTGTTTTGGCCCAATCGTCCGTGGGTTGCCGGGCGTGAGGCCCACAGCATGTGTTTGTGTGTGTCCGGCGGATGCTCCGGTTGGAAAAAGCGACCAACGCCCCAACACGCCCCCGAGGCGTTGTCGGTCAGAGTATGTATTGAACATCGTGATTATTCGCCGTTGAGAACGCCCCGGGGCTTCTTTCGACAAAAAGAGGGTTCCCAGAGGACTGTCCAACATGCATACATTCCGAATTCTACAACAGGGTGTTGTTGGGCCAAAGCATCTGTCTCCCACAAACCACTACCGCCAAAGACGTGAACACAAAATCCAGTACACGTCCCACCGCTCGCCAAGCAAAAAGGTCCGAGAGTAGGTAACAAGACGAGAGAAAAGAGAATCCAACTGTGTGAGCCGCGGTCCTCTACTCTGGGTGTCGATTGTCTCGCATTTTGGAATAGTTTTGGCCCTACATGTATCAGCCGTATTCACACGGGAGGACGGCCACACAGGCGTTTTTCGTCTTGACACCACCCTGTGCGTCGAACCTGCACGTCATGGGTCAATTCCATAGTCAATTCTCTGTGCACCTTTTGGTGTCACCGAATCCCCCACCAAATGCCGTGTACCGTGTGCTGTCGGTTGCCCCAACATAGAAGGACACGAGTTGCGCCTTCGTCTCCGCAATTGATAGACACGTATGGTCCATGCACAACGACTTGTCCATTCACGTTTTGGGCGATAACTTTTGAAAGAAACAGAATGGAATGTTGAAACAACGATACTCGTGATCGCCTCATCTAGCTACATCGATAGCTACGGCGTTTATTGTTTGTTTGTTTTTGAGACAATGCACCATTTTTGGCCAAGAAATGACCCAAAGAACCCCCTTTATCACCACGGAGTCCCCTCTATCACCACGGTGCCCCCATTTAAAAACGGTGCCCCCATTTTATCACCACGAAGTCCCTCTAAAATTCCCCCCGCAGTGTACGATGCATACGTTCGGCGCCAAAACAAAATTTCGCTGTTCTCACGAACAAGAGTTTATCTCGGAAAACAAAACCGCTTACGTCATGTTGATGAGAGGAATCGTTTGTCGCACTCTATTTTAAAATCGGCTTGGTGGATCTCGTTTATAAAAGCTTTCGAGTTGGCATCCCAGATCCGGTTTTTGGTCGCTCACTTTATCAATTCCGAATAATACATAAAAAAACGCTCACCTGCCGATATATATTCAAATCCGTTGAGATGCTTGAAATCGGCAAACAACACCACCCAAATAAGGAATCAAGAATATCCGCTGATTCAAGAACAGAAGAGACTACGAACGAAACAAAAAAAAGTAGAACAACAGCGACCTGCGCCTGGAGACAAGGCGTTTGCCGGTGTTTTCGGATTTCGGAACAACCAGCCATACCCCGAGAAAAGTGCACCTTGGTGCTGGGGAAACATTGGACAAATTGTTGTGCATGGACCGATAGCGACACGCAGCTTGACGAATCACCCTTTCAAAACACCATCCGGATGTAGGCGTGCAAACATCTGTTGACGAAAGTCATGTAAAAAAACAAACTGAAGCAGCAGCCAGGCGCGAGTTTACAGCCGTTCTAGATGCAGACGCTCACATCGCGTGAAATAATAGGCGTATTCGTAAGTTTCGCCCTGCTCACTTGTCTTCCATGGATGCCCTCTGCTTCAGCAGCTGCACAGCGTGGGCCTGCCCTTCCTCCGCCATCAAGACTGCTCTTGTCTTGGACTCGACAACGCCCTGACAGGTATCGAGATACGTAGAGCAGGCATACAACACGCCCACCCCATGGAGCAAAGAGACTCTTGTGAACAAGATGCAGTGCCACAAAGCAGCAGGGGTGGATAGTCAACGATTTCATCAACTTTGGGGGGAAGGGAATGATACAGTTGATCGTGCTGCTGTACGACTGGGTGTGGAAAATGAATGTGTGCCAAGTACTGAAGGGTGGTTGTGAACTTGTTTAACCCTCCTATGTAGTACCCAGTTACAGGATATGGCTCCAGAAAAAATCGCGTACACTCATTACGAGAGGCTGTACAGTTCTTTCCCGAGGGCCGAAGGCTGACTTGGCTTCAGTGTGGAAAATTTCCCCAAATGCACTGGGCACACTTTCTAAACTGAAGCCAAGTCAGCGGTTGTTGTAGTACTAGGCTATGTACAGTAGACCACGCACTCACGGTAGGGAAAATCATCAAAGGTAGAAAGAGGGCGGGGAATCCGACGTACTGCTTCTTCTTGGACGTGCAAACGCCATACGATACAGTAGGGAAAAATGGACTATGGAAACAATTGTGCAAATACGGGATATAGGGGAAATGTGGAGAGTGCTGAAGAAGAACTGGGGGTCCAATCCCTACGATCGGGAAGAGACGCAACGAATCTAAAATGGCAGTACCCCGTGTGCGATATGGGAGAGGAGGGGTTGCCGAGAACAGCTTGGGAGGCGAAGCGGGCACACAACAAGAGGGGTAGACAACCCACGGAGTGGATCAAGGTTGTAGATGACGTATGTATGCAACGAGTTCGAATTGACGAAGGTGATATTCTGAAAACGGACGGTCTACGAGGATTCAAGAAGAAGCTATTAATGTGTTGATTTTGCCGAGAGAGAACAGAATCTAACCAAAGACACCAAGGATGAAGAGCGTCCAGATGTGTATGACTGTTCAAAGAACGAACAGGGTTCAAGGAGTACTTACATGGACCCATGGATGCAGGAAAAAAACTGAAGGTAAAATTGAGGATCGGGGACAATGGCCTTCGAGAACGCAGGCGAAGGTTTCGGAAGGTAGACGATGAAGACGACAAGTTCAAATGTGAATACGGTTCCGAGTGCGAAGACCGGGTTCATGTACAGTAGTTGCGGAATGCCCGTTGTACAAGGACAGGGAAGTGTACATGACTGAGCTGGGAAAAGTAGAAGGAAGATACAGGGAGATGTTTGAGGCATGGAATAGCCAGGAGAAGACGGCAGCTGTACTGGGACATTGGAAGTCGGTTGAAAGGCGGGAAGTGGTATCGATAGGACATACAGGCTAGGAAAGCATTTTTGAGCCACCTTTGGCAAAGTAGGAAGGAACGATTGGCCATCGGTGATCGGTCCTGGGAACAACGCTCATTCCTCTCGAGGATGCGTGGCCAGTGGTCTAACCGTTACTGTAAGGCATGAAAAACATAAGAGTACGCCCCCCCATAGAGCAACAACACCAAATTTCAGTGGTTCAAAACACGTGTGATCCATTTCATTTCGCACACAGCTTGTCCTTGCGTCAGTAGGATCCTGGGGCCCAACCGAAAACTATGCCGCATCAACTTGCATGCACCGACGTTTCTCTTGAATCCACACAGTGCCTTGAACAAAGTGGGAATAAACCGACTGCGAGAGTGACCAGGACCCTGGCTTACGAGTCCTACAGATAGTGGTGGTCGCAAGCTTGAGAGGGTTGGTAGCTCGGTCCTCCCCCTGATCGTCATCCTCCGGACTGGATTTGACTAGGGCTGTTCGGTTTTAGTTCACTTTGCTTTCTTGGGACTCTTGAATGAACTCTATGGAGGGTCACGGGCAGGCTTAAGCTACGTGTTCGCTCGTTTCTTACCTTGAGCTCTTGGATGAGCTCCACTCTGGAAGGGAGATAAAGGGTCAGGTCGATGTCGCTCTCGGGTGTGGACAAGCTCATTGCGGAGGAGCCAAAGACCAACACTCTCGCTTGAGAGAATCGTTGCCTGTTTAATTAATCAAAACACGTCAATGGCATTCGCGGGTGTACGTGTCTACAAATCAGCGATAACGTCGAGACTCCAATACAGCATGTCTCCGGTGGTCCATACAATGTGGGCGTTATCGTTATCGACGAAATGGGCACTATATGGTAACCTATCTGCCCACCGCGGTTTCGCATCTTCGCCAAACGTGGATTCATCCCCAAGTGTCATCTTGAGTGCGCACGATTGCCTTACAAAACCACGAAGAATGTTTGCCGGCAGCGTTGGAGTACTGTATGGGTGTATATGCACCTACAAGAACAAACTCCGACAACGGTTAAAAGCCTGTCGCTGGACACATATTGTACATACACATATCCCTGAATGACGGTTCTGTCTTACGCCCTACCAGTACAAGAAAACTGTGCTCTCCCTACCTACGCACACGCACCTGAGGGCCCATTCGACGCCCTGCCTCACGCCTTCCACTGTCTCGTAGTACGACGTGTGGGGCAAAAGTGCCAGGAAACGCTTTATTCCCAAGGTGTCAGGGATGAATGAAAAAAACGACGGATGGGTTTCGAGTACAGCAGGGGCGGGGGCAACGGGAAGGTGGCGGGAGTGAGACACCACCTTTGTGTATTGCGAGCTGCCGGCCGCGTGGTGTGTGCAGCAAAAGTTGGACTACTGGATTCCATACGCTGACTCGCAAATGCAACCCTACAAACATCCGTCATCGGCGGAGAGGCAACTTTGTAATTGTAGCGGAGGCTGATGTCGGTGATCTGACACATTGGAGGAGCGGCCCCGTACATACAGCACCGCACCGGCCGTAGCAGGAGCGTCGACCGTACTGCACCTGGTCTCCCATTGCTCAAGACACCTTATCATCAGCCAAACCCAAGTATTTGTATATGAGTCAATCCCTCTCAACAATACCGTGGCGTATCTTGATCAAGCGTAGCCACGTCACAGTCAATGCATGGATTCCTCGGTTTAAGCAAGCGGCCGACCGACATCCACCTGAAAAACGCCAGCTAAGCACGCGTCAACTAACACAAATCATACATGTGCTGCAGAGTGAGAGCACCTCAAATCAACATTCACCACCCTGTTTCAATTGGAGAGAACGTCAAAACAAATACCAGCACACACTGGAGCGCTCACTTGCTCGCAAAGTTGATTCATGACCGTCCTCTCTTCTTCACTCCAAGTGTTGGCAAGAAGGGGTGCCGGCCCACCGCCACTAGCGCCGCCGCCGCCGCTCCTAGCGTAGTCCGTGGAGTGTATCAGCTGTTCGTCTAAACGCCTGAGTAGGTCGTCTATCTCTTGGACGTACCGGTCTAGCCTTTCACGACAAGTTGATGTGCGCACCTGCGGACGGGAATGAGCGAAGGGATAAGATAAGATGTATAGAGAGAGGGCAGAAGAGAGGTGCATAACGGACACGAAGAGGAAGAGGAAGATGCAGAACAAGAGCCGACAAAGGCGGGGGAGATAGAGGGAAGGCTACGAAAAAGGAGAGCAGAGGAGGATAGAGTACATAAGGAGAGATCGGTAACCGAAAACAAGCAAGGGAGGCACCCGTTGGCCCGAAATATCGTCGAAAGAGACGACAGTAGGCAACCTCGCAACCTTATGACGCTTGAGACGTGGGTTCGAATCTCGGTGGCGTCACACGAACTGGGATATTTTTCTCACAAGATGCCCAAACGATGTGGGAAACGATCATTTCATGTGTACGCAAAATACATGTGTACACAAAAAATCCACTTCGCGGTTGACGAGGGAAAGGAACGGCCGAGTCGTTTTCGCGATAAAAATCAAGGCAAGCACCGCAGGAGGAAGGCGGAGAAAACCTGCTGTGCGGCTTTCTTCTTGTGTGACCCCGTCTGGTTCGTCAAGAAATTGTACCGAAAGGTGTAGGGACGGAACAACCGGGATGAAAAAATACAACAACAACAATCAACAACAACAACGACCGCATTAACCTCCCCAACATCTTCATTCGTCTGCTCTCCACGCTGAGAGGAACAACTTATTTACACACGCCTCTGCCGTTCACCTCTAAGATGAAAGTCAACAACTGTCGCACGCAAGCGAGTATTCACCCGAAACTACACACCAAAGTCAAACCTGACCCAATGGACGTCCTCATTCTGCATCATTGGGCGGAGGGTTCGATCCACAAGCGTGAGGGTGGTTCGTGATTGTTCGATCCATCCCCTACTGTGCTCCAGGATGTTGGCGGCAGGGCCTATGTCACGGTTTGCTTGCTTTCACCTCTCCCAGTCGTTTGTGAGCTAGCATGTCCACGACGACCGCCTTCGCCAGCCCCAGCGTCCTCTTGCAGACGTCGTTGTCGTCGCTGCAGTCGTCCGAGGCTGCCAGAACGGCCTCCTCGCACAGCTGGAAAACCGACAGCAACTTGGCTTTGTCGTGTAGCGTTTTATCTATTGTGGTGGGGACATCAATTGCAAAATCGGGGTGGGCGGGGAGGGGGTTCCTCGTGAAACAAGCGATGTCGATGCCGCCACTATGTACTAAACACGTTCATCTGAGAGTCAGGGCATGTGGGGCAGAGGGCATGTGGGGCAGAGGGACAGGGGACGTAGGCGGTCTTTGGATTAAAGTGCACAAGTGTAGCGGAAGATGAGGGTCAGCTGGCGAGGTGGTCCGGGGGCGGTGACACAACGAAACAGCATTCTGACGACGCGGCCGGGGGCGCAAACAAGGACTCCCGTATGCACAGGAGGCATCAGCGAGGTCACCTTGGCTATTGTACTGTAGGCGCATGACGAGATCGGGCGGGGTGGTGCACTGGCAACATGTAGTCCGTCAGTGATGAGCTTCAGAGCTAATGGGCATTCTACCCGCGAGCAGAGGCGAGGGGCCAAGTTTTTTCTTGGTCACCCCAGACACTCACGTTGGAAGCAAACGAAATGCTAGCTTCGAGGTACCACCCTGGACCAAGCAGGCCTCATGACACGTTGAGGCCGCGAGTTCAAACCAAAGCACACAGCAGTCTAACATCTCATATGAGCCGGACTTGAACGTACAAGGTCCGTGGCAGCTCCACCCATTCCAGCGCATGATACTGCCGTGCGATGTAATTATCCTCACCATTAATTAGCGGTAGCGCGATCTGGAGGCATTCCAGAACCTCTGGCACCAGCGCGAAATGCTCGGCGCCCCTGTGTTCCCTGTCTTGCTTGTGTCGCTATTGAATTACACAGAAAAGCAAGCGGAACGCGCGCGGCAAGTCATGAGTGTGCCATGTGTGAAGAGTGCGAGCCGTCGACAAGCACATGGGACTACATAGATTGATATGCGGGACTGCGTTGTTGTGTGGCATGCACTGCCAGTGGAGCAAGGGATGCATCGGCGAGCGACCACCCGGGGCGGTCCCGTCGCCTGCGCCTTTAGCACCCAAATCCGTGCGCCCTTCTGATACGCAGTGCTGCAGCATCCATCTCTGCGCGTTGTATTAGCCGTAGTACGGATGTTCGCTGACCCCGCCGACGGCCTGTACGCAACCATAGCTCTTGGCTCCTACATTGTTGCTGATCAGCGATCGTAGCATACATTGCACACATCTGCCGGGTCAGTAGGAGCTCCAATCCGTGGGGTTCCTCCCTGAGGGCCCCTACCCACCCCTTGACTTCGGTTTTGAACGCGAGAAGCTTGGCTCGGCGGGAAAAAGATACGGCAAACCAAAACACAGCAGCAGCGTATGCATAAGAACATGTAACCTTCTATGTACACACAAAGTGTTTTGCCCCGTGCCAGAAAGTCGGTTGAACACGCGGCGGGCATCGTTGAAGGAACGTTTTCAGAGCGAGAATATTTTCGTAGCTTCGCCGTGTGTGCAACCAAAGGGCGACTCCCAAAACTCATTCATCCCTGTGAGACCAGCAACAAAATCAATTTGGTTCGTCCTACCGTTACCAGCTTTCTTTTTGCACTGCGGCGCCAGCGAAGGTACGCTACGAGGCGGTATGGTTCTTGCTGTAGTGTACATCAGTACAGCAGCAACATCCAGTATCTTGTTGTACAACGGTACAGTAGCATACATCACAAAGACAGCCGAAATGCCCACGGAGTAACAGGCTTCGCGCAGCAAACTCCCACGTGCAAGGAATAAAATTCTGGGACTCACCGCCATCAGCTCGCGTGCGCGTTCCAGCACCTCGTCGCCGCCAGTAGTAGTGCCGGCCTGGCTACGAGTGCTCGACGTCTGCGTACCAGCATCTACATCGCCGGCTTGGACCTCAGGGAGGTTGCTGGGCTCTAGAGGGCCTTCCTTGGATGCTCTAGCACTGGGTGGCTCGAGCTGGTCTGTTTCATGTTGGCATGTCGCTGCTGTTGTCGTTGTTGCCTCTGCCGCTGCTGGCTGGGAGGCAGCTGCGTCTGACATAGCAAACGGCACGTACTACTCTGTAGCGGGATCTGCCGACGCGCAGACAGCACAGCAGCTGAGGAATATCTATCTGCCTCCTCCAGCTGCCGCGATGGTCTCCTTCCGGAAAAGAGACTTGATGATGAGGCCGCAACTCTCTCGAGATCAAGGAGTAGACACACTTGGATGCGCGCAAGGAAGAGAGTTGAGTGGCAAAGCAGGAAAGACCGTGTTTGTGGTGGATGAGGTGAGACGGAGGTGTACTGCGTTGCCCGCTTGCCACTGCACACCTGATGACTTGATGCAGCGCGGGGGGTTCCGCGGATTCGTGGGTGGACATCGGGCATTGAGCAGCAGGCAGGAGACACCGCAATACACAGCACTCCTGTCTCAAGGCACACAGCCGCTGAGTTGTTGCAGTCCCGGGATGTAGTGAGAGATATCGCCATCACATCATCCTTGTGGCTCATGGGGGTGTGACAACGGCACCATCCTTGGGAGTTTGTCTTCTGGCGCGCAGTAGAGGCAGGCGCCACACGGCACAACAAGACTGTAGACTACAGCAGTAGAGGATCACGAGGAGGGGTATCCTGCACACCATGTCAACGACGGCTGCTGTGGCGATGCTATTTGGGATGGCCAGCCTCATCAAGCTGCTCGTGCTTGCCCCCTGCCTTTATCGCAGCACCGACTTCGAGGTGTGTAAGACATGTGACATGTTAGGCGGGCATGGATCATTACCGTGGGGGAGAACATTTTGGATTTGGCTCAGTTTGGCACACTCCGCCCGAGGAAGACGCGTGATCGTTGTACAGCAGCAGCAGCAGCAGCAGCAAGGCCTGCCGCAGCTGCAGAGTATGCATCCCGTTTGTAGTCCAGATGCTTGTCTAGGCAACTTGACAGGTCCGATCCGGGGTAACGCTGAAGAGCGCCTCTCTACAACATGCAGAGTGCATTGCCTTCCTTTTTTTAAGGGGAAGGGTTTCAGCCTTGTCTTCTCAAGTGAGCTCACGAACAAGCGCTCTCTATATTGTACCCACAACGGCAAAGAGCAAAGAGCAGTCTCGACGACATCCAAAAGTCTCACCCTCGCCCATCGAACGTCTTGGGAGTGACAACAACGGTACCGCCTAACCCCCCGAGGCTATTGTACGGGTACTCTATTTTGTGTCGTTCCGTGCTCTGTGACATATTCAGGGCTGCGTGCAGTGCACTGTACTCTGCGGCGACGCGGCTCACCTCGCTGTCCATGGTTTTTACGCAACTAGTGATAAACCCTACACTGCACTATGTATATTACTGTACTGCACACGAGGAATGCATGACGTGTAGCATGCCATACGAAGTCTTCAACCTCCAAAACGCTCTTTCGACCCGGCACGGTTGCGCGTGCGATACGTTTCGACCGAAGGTTCACCGTAACTGGCTAGCGATAACGCACTCGAAGTCCTTGGTAGACTGGTACTGGGAGGATACATCGGAGTGGACGCTAGACTATCCGCCGCTCTTTGGATACTTCCAGGTGAGGTAGGTCTGTCTTCAGCCAGGCGTCGTCGAAGCACGTCGAATAGGAAATGAACCTCCAACCTATCGTTTCTTCCCTTGCTTTTGTGACCCCGGATCAGAGTTGCGTCGAAAAAGCAGGAGAGGCCGCATAGTGGTAGTTACGGGAAATAAAACAGCCAAGGGTTGAACCAAAATGCTGGACATTGAGGCCAAAAAAGGCAGTTGGGTCTGCTGCGTACGCTTTGTCCTGAATGGATGACCCTTGACCTCGGCCCTTGTGATCTTGTCAATAGTCTACCAACGTTTTTCTAAGTACAGCAAACATACTGGATAAAGTATAGAATCGGCTTTGTTGGCGTTGGGGTCTGCGTGCCCCCTGCCTGATATTTTTTCGTAATAAACTTACTTTCTTGGCGTAGGCAGTCTGGCGTTGTTGAGATGTGTTTTCTGCGTCTACAACAAAACACAGTCAGCCAGGGAGATGACCATATCCTATTAACCTTTCTTTCAGCTTCGTGGTGGAAAGTGTTGTCGATTTGTATTGCCTTTCCCGAGGGGTTGCACTTGTCACAAATGGAGGTCAACACAGACGGAGAGAAACAACTGGTGCAACAGCATTGCACCAAGCTAGGCAAAGTTCAGTGGCCTCGGAACCCGCGAGGGGGGGCGTGTTCGAGAATAGGCTGCAGGGATGTTTTATGTTTGTCTCGGTGCACACCCTTCGAAGCGGCAACACAGGTTTGGCGTCATATACGGTAGATGGTCCCAAGAACCAGCCGAGCCCTGATGCCATAGTGGCATCATGCCACTCCCGCGTTCGCAATACACAGAGGCATTCTTGCGTTGAACCTTGGTTGATTTTTTCACGAACTTTTTTTGTGTGCCGGTGCTTTGTCACGCGTACCCTCTCATTTGTTCAGTGGGCCCTCTCTCAGGCAGCCGTCCACGTGGAGCCGGATCTAGTGAAGATCACCCCGTACTACGAGCCTAGCGAGGTGGCAGTGTGGTTTCAGGTAAGTTACACCGTGCATAGAGTGGCAGTTTTTCGTTGGACTCTTTCTGCGAACAATCTGCGAGTTCTTGGTGTTGAAGATGGATCAAAGGAGGGAAGCGTGTTCACTGACTGGGCATTGTGGCAATCGAAGTGCTTCGAATGGGAGCAAGACGAACCCCGCACAAGTCCTACTAGTCTCGTACGGTGAAGTCAACATAATGAGGCACAGGCCATATCAGCCTTGTGCGGTGACGTCAACACCATGAGGGGTGACCATCGAAGGGCATCCCCACTCGGAAAATCCACGAAGCATCTCTTGATTTATTTATCCCTTTCGGGAGACGGCACGCAGGCAGGCGCTGACTGCCTGATCGTAGCAGCAACATGGGCAACATCTTCCCGATGCTGTGTTCTGTTGTGTTTTTTTACCGCGGGCGGCCACCCGTGTGCTACACATGTATAAGTGTAACCACTTTCAACGACGGTTGTTCACCGCTGCCGAACATTTCGGTGTAATCATGGACTATTTCTTACTAGGGTACACTTTTGCCGCCCCCCTCCGCCCTGTCACCTGCGTTCACACGTATTTTCGACCACAAGAGAGTTTCAGTTATGGTGGTGGATGTGACGATGGTGCTCGGCGTTGTTGCCTGGTGCAAGGGTGCGAGAATGCGGCAAAAATCAGGCGGCGTGCACTCCGGCACTGTCCCGCAAGGTGTGTGGCAGGCTTTTTTGTTGTTGCTTATTGCCGCCGTTTCTACGCGGAATCGTCGCGCACAGATGACGCGAGAAGGGTGGAAAAAAGGTCACGGAACGAGCGCTGACGCAAGGGTCACCGTGCATTTTTCACCAGATAAGCTCGGTCACACAGCAGCAGTGGCGGAGTGGTTCAGCCGGCGACCTCGCAACCTCCTGCCGTTTGGACGGGTTCAAATCTCGATGCAGTCACACGAACTGGGATTTGATCTCACAAGATGCCCTAACGCCGTGGAACGCGATATGTAGTTTTATGTATACGCAATGATTGGACCTTACGGTCGACGAGGGAAAGGAATGGCTGAATCGTTCTGGCGATAGTACTCAAGGCAAGGAAAGCGGAGAATACAACTCCTCTGTGGCTGTCCTGCTCCTGTGTGGCCCCGGCTGGTGCGTCCGTAATTGTACCGAAAGGTGGAGGACCGACGCCCAGAATATACGGGAAAAGGGACCGTTGAGAGATTCTTCCAAAGTTGGACCCCCCCGTTGCCCTACATTATCCCCTCTGCAGGGCCTCAACCTGAAAGCCAAACCGTTCGTTGGTGTGTTTTAGTGCAATCACCCGTTTGCTAGAGCCGTGACCCTGGCTAGCAGAGTGACCACCCCCCGGTGAGTCGCGAATTGTTCCACGCGAATCAATCTCGGTTGCTTCGTTTGGCTCAGATGTGGCGTGTGCAACCTGCGTGGGCCCGTTGGTCCTGCTCAACTCCGGTCTGTTTCTGGTGGATCATGTCCACTTCCAGTACAACGGCTTCCTTCTGGGACTGCTGCTCTTGTCCATGGGGCTGATCAGACAGGTGAGACTCTGTTAGCATGTGGCACCATTCTTGATCTCACCCGGTGAGGTCTAGTCGGCGGGATGGAGCAGTCACTTGACCTTGGGCAAGTAACCTGAGACATCTCTAGTCTAGTTAGAGTTGCCATCATATAAAGTGTGTGGCTGGTAACCAACGTAAACCTTTTACGATGAAACATCGTTTCCGAGGACAGCCATGCCTATTTGCAGGATTAAGTTACACGGCAGCTGCTCTCGACAGTGTGCTCCGGGCACAATTCCGGGACTGTGCGAGCAACGAACCTAGCCGGCATCCGGTACCATGCTGCAACTCTTGTCCATGTCCTTAGCTACTGCACATCACACGCCTAGATCTGGTGACAGCTGGCGAGCTCTTTCGTCTCTCTCATCTCGTTCCAGGATTAGTTGCATGGTCTCTGCCCCCTCCGACTGTCAGGAATACACGTACGTACCTAACGCTATGCGTACAATGCGTCACCTTGCCCCCCCCCCGCAGGGTAGGGTGCTGTCTGGAGGAGCGACCTTTGCGGGTCTGCTGATGCTCAAGCACCTCTTCCTGGCGCTCGCGCCGCTGTATTTCGTATACCTCTTGAGGAGCTACTGCTGCGGTGCGAGTGCGCAGCAGCTGTCGAAAGGTGTTGGCGGCAGCGGCGATGTTAGAAGAGGTGGCGAAAGCAGCGTGGGTGAAGCATCTCAACCCCCCGAGCGAGGAGACCGCAAGGATCTTCAGCGAGCGGTACCCTCGGTCTCCCACGAACAAGTACAGGCGGTTTCACGTGAAGACGCACCATTAGCCAGGCTGTCTTGGAAACGGCTGGCCTCTCTTGGCTCTGCCGTGTTGTTCGTTTTTGGGTCGGTGCTAGGACCGCTGTGCGTCTCGGACGGCTGGACGAAGGATGCATGCTTGAAGCAGCTGGGGCAGCTCGGGGTCAGGTTGTTCCCGTTCGGCAGGCGAGTGGAGACGGAAGCGGACGAGCACACATCGATTGCGTGGTGTACCAGATGCCTATCAGTGTGGATCTTGCAGCAGTTTTGAGGGTGAACATGTTTTGCTCTGGTTCGCATGCACGCTGCTTGTGATATACTCTAAATCGACGCGTCGGGGACGGGATCAACAAGAAGAATATTATTCAGAAACCCATCCCTGTTGACCACTTTTTTAGCAGCAAATCCAAGCAGGTGCAACACTTCTAGGTCGCTCCTGCTCCCCAAGTGAAGAAACAAGTATTAAACCGCGGCCGAGCCTAATTACACCACACCCGCCGAGCACCGCCCATCAATCTTAACGTTTGGTCTCCTCCCGTTACGTGCAGGGGGTTGGTCCACGCGTACTGGGCGCCCAACGTGTGGGCAGTGTACCTATTTCTCGATCGGGTCTTGCTCGCCTCGCTCAAACTCGCTGGGCTGGCGGCCGTTTCGGACGGGAAGGGGTCCACTACAGGTGCGCCACGGGGGGGGGGGGGGGTACTCATAATCGTGCATGCCGTATCGTTTGACCATTGACGTCGCATCCCTACAAAGCCGGGACGGAGCATGCCGGGTTCTCACAGGACCAGACTCTCACATCACCAAGCGCCAAGCACCGTGAGGAATTCGGCGAGTCGCATGAAGGGTATAATTATTGTTTTCGTTGACTCTATTTATATTACTTTGAAATGCCAAACATGGGTTTCTGCTGCTGCCCACACCCTCGTCAAAGACGTCGCATCCCTACAAAGCCGGGACGGAGCATGCCGGGTTCTCACAGGACCAGACTCTAACATCACCAAGCTCCAAGCACCGTGAGGAATTCGGCGAGTCGCATGAAGGGTATAATTATTGTTTTCGTTTACTCTATTTATATTACTTTGAAATGCCAAACATGGGTTTCTGCTGCTGCCCACACCCTCGTCAAGGGAGCACCTCTAGAACGTCGAATTTCTAGATCTTTACTGGCAATTCGTTTGTTGCGAATAGCGGTCGAGCTGCTATCAGTCCACCCAGGGAGAGCGTTTTTTTTTTGTCTCATGTTCAGGTTTTGCTATGTTTTTGGTGTTTCAAACCGGGACGAGTCACCCTACGCGAGAAGGATATTGAAACCCGAAACCTGTATATGTCCCATTCTGCCACCCACGAACTAGAATAGCGGCCTGCTGAACTGTATGGGGATATGGGAATAAATGTTCTTGAGAAAACTACCTGTACGGCCAGTTCCGCGATTTACTTCATAGCCGTGCTTCTTCGGTCTGCTACCAACGGTGAACGCCCTGTAGCCAATGGTACACATATGTTGAAGGTTCGGAAAAACATCATGACAACTAACGTTGTGACAGGAATGCTCTGAAAGTGGTAAACATGAGTGGTCTGAAACTGATACTTTAGAATGGTCTGAGGGAATGTTCTCTTAAAGACTCTGAAGTTGTTAGACCGGTTTTTATGGATCCATAATGTTGCAAGAAAAGCTGCAAACTTTTCCTGCAACTTTTCTTCCAAACTTCGTCAATGGAACTTTTGATGCACGCTCTTTATGGGACGAAGAAAGTTTTGTGCACGGGACTGGCGGAATGCGGAGGCGTGATCTTTTTGCTTTTTACAACGGCGAGAAGAACGCACGCGCCTTTCACATTGCACCGCGATAGAACCGGTCAGAGCGCGTGGGAGAAGGTAGTTGCAACCTTTTTTCTCCACACTCACGATACCCCAAGGCATCTAACCTGGTACCAGAAAGATGCTGGGTAGAGCTAGCTCCCTCGGGGTGGCATTGATGTTGCTGTTGCCTTCTCCTTCGAAAAGTTATCGCTGGAAAACCAAACCATGCGCACACAATCCCTGCGAACGTGAACCAACCGCTCTCTGACGTGGGTACTTTGGGGTCGATCAAAACTTTTTCCCCGATGCGCACGATACCCCACGGCACCAAATCTTGGGCATGAAAGATGGAGCAGAGAGCTACCTCCCACCGAGCGGCCTTGCTATTGCTGTTGCTTTCTCCTTGGGAAAGTTATCGGTGGATAACCAAACCCGTGGCGGTCAAAAACATCGAACTTGAACTAACCGCTCGCGGCCGTTGAGGGTTGTGCACAGCACACACTTTTTTTCCCGGCTGATTCGGCACCTCACGGCCCCAAACCTTGACATTGCCCCAACAGCCCATGGCATCACCTCCTTCCAGATACCATTCATGAGGCAACTCGTTTAGTATTTGTCGAGATATCGGTGATCACAGCCTTCCCACAATCGATGCTGGAGAGGGCCTACTACGTGTGCGGTGGAGATAGCAGCTTGACGTGAACCGGTATAGTTTCCGCCGTGCAGCTTTTCTCGCCCCTTCCCGACTCGAGAAAAGCTGCAAAACGTTTCGGCCAGGTTGCAGCTTTTCGCTCCGGAAAAAAAGTTGCAGAACTTTTGGTGCAACTTTTAGCTCCCATACTGAGCGTACATTAGCAAAGCTGCAAGAAAAGTTGCAGAAATGCAGTTTTTTTGCAGGTTTGTGGAGCCTAAAAAGCGGTGTTACTCACCAGCATTTCCTGACTTTGTGTACGCCTGAGCATGGTAGACTATGGGTGCCACGGCGGCCGGTAACAAGCGGTCGAAGGTGTGTTGACGTAACCTTTACAACTATCTCCCTATGGCAGAGGAAAGTTGGTCGGAGCATGGGGTCGATAGTGAAGGAAGGAGGGGGGGGGGGTCGCACAAAATGTA